AGTCTTTCCACATCTTGATATGAGTTCGGCTGAGCTGGTTGTACCACCGGATAGCTGAACCGGACAGGCTCTCCTGAAAACAATGGATCAGGAGTTGGTCATTTCCCTCGTATCCTGTCATCTTCCGACAAAACATAGTGATATGGGCTGAAGGGCAATTGTTCCCATCGAACTTCTCAAACTCAAAAATTTTAAACTTAGGTGGAAGCACCAAATCTGGAACCAGGCTCAACTCCATTGCATCCACTCCATAATAATCATGGTCCCCTTGGACCATCTTCATTTGATTTTCTAACATCCTGATCTTCTCTTCCATCTTATTTGCCTTATCCTCCTCATCAAAATCTGGGATAGGGCAATCGTCCGGATGACTGTCAGGATTTGCCGCAGAAGTCTATAAATTCGCAACCGATACAGCTTTCCCTTTGACGGCAGATGAGTCACCTTGCAGTCCGGGTAAGATCCCGGATGAGACAACCACTTGTGGGGTCGGTTGTATGGTTATCCCCTCAGATGCACCTACTCCGGATGCACTTGTCTGTTGTTGTAAACCAGATAACTTAGCCACAATTTGGTCGACTAAGGATTTTGTGCTTTTCTTGATAGACTCCATGGTACTTTGACTATTCTGAGTCATTTTGTCCTCCAATTCTTTCTGCAGTCTTGCCATGTTCTCTTCGATCTGAGTGATTATTGCTTCCATCTTCTTCTTTTTCAAGCGGGTGTTATGCGAATGGGGTGTATCCAATGCTTGAGATAGTGTATCCAGTATTTGTTCCTTCTGATGAGACATTCTTCTATTAGTTAATGTGAATGCAAAAAAATGAAAATATCAAAATGCAAAATATGCATGATGCATGCAATGTTCAAGGCATTGATCCAAAAATGTGTCTATTATTATAAATAATCTTTAATTAGGGAAAAAGTATTTTATCTTTTAAGAGACAAAAATATCTTGACAGCTTCTGACATGTTGACTATTCTTCTGCCTTCGTCTGTCACCGGTTGAACAACCTGTCGAACCGCTCCGGCTTCTCTGGATGAACCGTGCAAATGCTGAGTTACTTTTTGTATTGGTCCAAGAAGTCTCGACTGATAACATCTCTGACATTTATCTTTTGTTGAACCTGTTTCCAATGAATACGTCATTAGAGCCCTCAATTGATAGGAATTATGTGAAGTTCATTTATATGTTTCTTGAATTTGTCAGCAATGTCCTCCAATTTCAGCTATCGTTTTTCCATTGTTGTCTTTGAAGGGACCCCCAAGATCAGTAACCTTCATCTTGCCCCTGCAATCTCTGCCAGTCAGTTCTTCAAAGATAGACTTTCATTGGGCTTGATGTAGACTCGGTTCATTCTTAGTCCTTTATAATGCAACAAAATGATATACTCTTCAATTGTGGGCAGCATGTCTTTTGGATTGAATGTGACACATAGTCACCTTGTAGACTGTCCTCTAAATTTTCATCTCTTGTATTATAACCCCTTTGTCCATTAATACAAATTATTTACGTTTAACAAACACATTTTTGTGGATAAACATTTATTTTAAATGATACAAATGATGAAAATAAAATAAAAGAGAACAAAAATGAAAAGAGTTAGTGAAATAAAAATAAATAAATAAATAAATGACGAAAGGAAAAAAAACACAAAAAAATGGTTAGGGTAGAAATATCCTAGGTTTTGGAACGTGGTTTTGGGGTAGGCTCTAATTCTCCATGGTCTCCCGGTTTAGGTTCTAAAATACGGTACTCGAGTTCTCCTTGCCGGTGCCCCCTTGGGCTTGCTAGACCCTTAGTCCTAAACCCATCACAGGCTTGTGTGGACTAAGTTAAACTCGAGGGGACACATTCCCTTATGCCCGCACGGTGAATAAATTCACACGAAGACATAAGGTATATAAATCCCGAAGGCTACTTGCTAGGCCCACACGGTGAATAAATTCACACGAAGGCGTCGCTTTCACCTTTACTTAAAATAGGGTTTGGAGCTCGGGTATAGAGCCAAAGATGAAACTTTTTTCAAAAATCTGAAATCACTGAAAAAACATCAGTACAATTATTTACTTGAAAAAAAATAATCAAAGGTAAATAATTGGAATAGAATAAATAAATAAATTTAAATTTAAATTTACCATTTTCGTTTAAAAAGACAACCGAAAATTAATTTAGGTCTGACTCACTTACCAGTCCCCAACGGAGTCGCCAACCTGTCGCAACCGCCTCTCGGGTGGGCCCATAATTCGGCTTCGACTTGGAATAAAATATTAGGAGTCGCCACTGATCATTTAAAAATATTTAGGTTGATCGAATACCATCTTACTTGATCTGCGTTTTTACCAGAAATATGTCGGGCTCGGGAGTCGGTTACAGTCAAGGAAGGATTAGCACCCTTGAACTGCCCTTTCGGTACCATTTAATTTATCGGTTATCTTAATTGCGAAAATTTAAATTAAAATTTAGAAATTCGATTAATTACTTACCTTTGATTGTTTAAAATTATCCTAAAAAGACCATAAATAAAGTAAGAAAATAAAACAAACAAACACAAAGAGTTAGTATTAAAATCGAAATAAAAATAGTAACTAAAAGGAATAAAAGAAAATTCAAATTAAATAATTAAATTGGAAATAATTAAAATTTATGGATTAAATTAATTTTAAGAACGAGCTACAAAATAAAAATAGAAACTTAAGGGATTAAATAGTAAAAGAAAAAGAAGTAAAGTACAAAAATAACACAATTAGAAAATTAAAGGATTAAAATAGTATTAATAGAAACTAGAAGGTTAAAATAAAATAACAGAAACTAAAGTGTCAAAATCAGAAAAAATACAAAGATAACCGTTCGGATGTATTTTCTCCGATCTTCCATCGTTCATCATCTGATCGTTCTGAAATTTTATTATGTTGTTCGTGTTGACCTCGCGCAACTTTTGACCATTCAGAATGTTGATCGGAGGTCTCGATCACCAGCCAGAGGCCAAAAACCGCCCAAATTTGTTTTCTCTGATCCGCCACCGTCCATCGTCCGATCGTCTTGATTTTTCAGTATGTTGTTTGTGTTGACATCACGTAACTTTTGACCGTTCGAAATATTGATCATTGGTCCAAATCGACGGCGCGAATTCTGGCATAATTCAAGACCCTTTTATTTTTTTCTTTCTATTTTTTCCTTCAATTTTCTTGTGGTGGAAAGGTTGGTGAAGGCATGAAACATGGGATATGTGAATTTAGTGGATTTTTAGGTTTAGTGTTTGGGTAATAATAATACTACTACTACTACTACTACTAATAATAATAATATTTAATAATATTTTTTCGACCCGGACAAAAACGGGTGTCTACACATATCTGGATTATTTTTATAATATTTTATATCTATATAAGTTTTGAAAGTTAATAATATAACCTAATTGGTTTAATGGGATCAAACATTATATTCTTTAAACAATGTCAAGAGTTTGAATCTCGATGTTTACAAATAGAGTAAATTGAATTAGGAGTGTCGCTCCATAATGAGTCTTTACAAAATTCAATTTAGAATAGTTAATCAATAAATCATATACGGGTGATTTAATTAAAAGTTAGTAATTTATTTTATAAATTCTGACATATATTGAATTAAGGGTGAATTATATATTTAATATTTAAACTATCAGTTTTGGTCCATTTTAGTACCTAAACTTTCAAATTTTTTTAAAACAATACCTAATGTTTAATTTTTGTTTCATTTTAGTATCGTCATTAAAAACTTAACGCGTTTAGGTATCAGTTTTGGTCCGTTTTAGTACCTTAAACTTTCACTTTTTTTCTTCAAAACTTAAGGTTAAGTTTTGAACGGGTACTAAAATGAAAAAAAAAAATTAGGTATGGTTTTGAAAAAAATGAAAGTTTACGTGTTAAAACGGATCAAAACTAATAGTTTAATACTAAATGAGTAATTTACCCTTGAATTAAAGTGTGTATTATATTTAATTGTTTTTCGTATAATAGCATTTACGTCCCTTCGATCATGCAAGTCGTACATTACTCGCGCTAGGGATGAACCTAGGCGGGGACGGGTGAGGGCGGTCGCCCCCTAAAAGGTTAAATTTATCATATATTTTAGATTTTTTTATGTATTTTTTATTAAAAATATATTTTTGTCCTCTATAGAATTTTATAAGTTCAAATTCACCATGCTATAACTTTATAAGTTCAAGTTTATCCCCTAACATAAGATTATGTTTCCGTCCCTGACCGTGCCCATGTTCCATTACTGAACATATACTAGGAAAGATTCACGGTTTCAGTGAGACAGCAAAGTCTCTTCCAAACGATTGTTTGGTCCCAACTATATCAGCTTACATACCTAATGCATTAATCCCAACTCTATTTTTTTAAAAGGTTTTATCGTAGAAAACCTTTTCATGGAGAACATTGTTAATTTTAGATATCTAAATTATTTTTGCAAATATTTTAAATTATTAACGTTTTTCATGTTATCACTAGTATTCATAGGAATTTTACGTTGTGAATTTTAAAATATTTTAGGAATCTTTATATGACACTTTTTGACTGTGTTAAGTGATAATTTTTAATACTATAACATCAGTTTAATAGATGAAAAAAACTTGGAGAGAATGCAAGAAATAACATTGAAAAATGTTAAGTATTTAGAATATAAAAAAAAATTAATTTAGACACATAGTGCTGAAAAGACTATATTCATAATGTTTTTTATAATAAAATCCTTTTTAATTATAACATGTTCAATTATTATTGAATATAATTTTATAAACATACAATATATATATATATATATATATAGTAAGATGAGGTAATATTTTTTTTACTCATGAAACGCCAGCTTGTTTTATTAATATTGGAAAAAGAAATAAATGAAGCCCAAACTACTCAATGGGAGACAGTTTGGATAGCCCAAAAGAAATCCTAATAACATAAATACTTGATTTAAAAAAAAACATTCTAGAACTTGAACGGTTGGCCTTTCACCTTCTGCACATTTTGATGAAAATCAATTTCGCGTTCAAAAGCTTGAAGAAATCTGAAACTGCAGCATCGATCCTTTCTGCAACTCTGAACTCAATCCTTATGGCTATGGAGGATCAATTCAACGACTATCTTCAGCCACCTGATTCTCTATACACTGTGACCCTTCCTCGACCCAAAACCCGTCTTCTATCCCCAGCGTATCATCTGCTGCCAACGAATGGGCCACTAAATTACCAGATCGGGGTGTAAATCGGCACATGCAAGAAAGAAATGATGATACTTTTATCCTTGTATCCCATTCCCATGAACTGATTTCGGAGAAATTTGGTTTCCCGGACTGTAATTTGGTTATAACAGTCTTGGTATCGCCTTCGAGAATGATTCGACTAAAGCCCATATCCGCTGCAAAATCCACTGCATGCTTCGCCGCCATTGCCTCTTTCATGAAAGCCTAGGTAACATTCTTACTTGTTTTCCAATGAGCACCCATGATGTAACCTTCTTTATCTCTGATTATAACTCCAGACACAGCTTCTTTTTTGGCGAGGTCGAATCGAGCATCAAAATTCACTTTAACTTCAAGAGGTGGAGGCAGTTTCCAGCGGACAATAGTTTCCCTATTTGTGACCAGAAGACGAGAAATTGCTATGGAATAATCCTTGCACTGAGCTCGGATAGAGGTAAGGAGCTCCTCTTTCCTTATTACTTTGCCTTGATGTAGTTGAGTATTCCGAGCAAACCACAGCAACCGTATAGTTACCATAATTTATGCATATTTAGATGAATGATTATGATTGAACATCCATGACAACCATTTAGCAAAATACACTGAAGCAATGTTTGGGGGGCAGTAGTAACCTAGGTCGTGCCAAATTTGTGTTTCCAAACGACAGTCTCTTACCACATGAATACCTGTTTCAACCTCCAATGGGCATTTTAGACAATTTATTATTCGAAATTCGCTTCCTAAACAATTTTTAGTTCGTTGGAATAAAATTGGAAACAGACTTCCAAATTTGCAGTTCAACCTTCCGTTGGCTCACAATCCTAGATGGATTTAAGTAGCCCCCATCAATGAAATTATTTTCAGCAATTAACAGTAATCGATAGGCACTCCTGACACTGTGTAATCCTGTTCGTTCTCAACACCAAATTCGAACATCCTCATGATGGAATTGTGCAAGTGGAATATCGTATCTGTTTAGCTTTTTCCTTGGTGAAAGTTTGATGTACTGACTATTCTCTACAAGTTCTCGAATCCTCATCGATTAAATCCGAAACTCGATTCACCGTAGCAACACGAGGAGACTCTATATGACATTGTTCCTCTGTTGGCAGTCAGAAATCGTTCCAAACTGAAATCGAATAGACGTTGCCCACTTTCCAACAGAGTCCTCTCTCCAAAAGTCCTTGAGCACTCTATATACTTCACCATACATAAAAAGGCAAAGAACCTAGCTTTGCGTTGAAAAAATCTCCAGCATGATAATACCTTGCCCAAAGCATTCGACTAACTAGCGATGAGGGATTCGTATGCAGTCGTCATCCTTGCTTGGCCAACATAGTTATATTAAAAAAAAAAATAGATCCTTAAATCCCATTCCGCCTCTTCCCATGTACGCCAATGTATTCCTCGTTTGAGCTCAGACTTCTGCCACCAGAACTGACCCATAATGTTCTCCAGTTCCTTGCTCAATGTTTTAGGTAATAATAAGCAATTCATTGCAAAAATGGGGATGTCTTGAAGGACTGACTTTATGAAAACCTCTTTACCTCCCTGGGACAACACACACACAATCTAGTTATGGGTACGACTTTTGAATTTGTCTTTTATTCCCACAAAATCCCCTTTTGTCACATCCCACTATTGTTGGTAACCCCAAATATTTCTCAAGGTTTAAGGAGGTTGACACATCAAGCACTCGTTTGACATCGTTTCGGTTTTCATCAATGATGTTTGAGCTGAAAAAAAAAGACCCAATTTATCAAAATTGATTTGTTGACCAGAGCATCTACCATACACAGCTAGAATGTGTTTGATTATCTGGGCTGTTCGAGGAGTTGCTTCACTGAAAATAAGACTATCATTAGTAAATAACAGATGAGTAATTACAGGAGCATATCTGTTTACCCTCACCCCTTGAAATTCACCAAGATGTACCGACCTTCGAATTAGTGTTGAAAACCCTTCGTTGCAAATCAGAAACAGATAAGGGCTCAAAGGGTCACCTTGACGCAACCCTCGCTAAGGAATAAATCTTGCGCCTGGAATTCCATTTAAAATGACCGAATATGAGATCGTGGAAACACATTGCTTCAGAATATCAATCCAGTGCATAGAAAAACCCATTTACTCCATCACCATCCATAAAAAACTTCATTCCACTCAGTCATACGCTTTACTCATATCAAGTTTCAAAGCGAAAAAAACATGACCGACCTAATTTTTTAATAAAACAATGCAAAAGCTAGTATGTAGTGATAATATTGTCGGTGATAAATATAAGAGGGTCAAAAGCACTCTACGCTTCATCAATACAACTATCCAGGAAACCTTGTATTCGTATTACCAACATCTTCGAGACAATCTTGAATAAAACGTTTGATAAACTTATAGGGGAAAATTGAGTCAGTCTATTCGGGGATGGCACCTTTGGAATCAACAAAATATGTGTATGATTAGTCTCCTTCATGTCATCTCTATCTTCAATAAGGCCACTGCAGTAGTTTGAAACCACCACTCCAATTAAATGGTAGAAACGCTGATAGAACAAGGCGCCTAAACCATCTTCCCCCGAAGCTTTCAAGGGACTTAAAGATTTCATGGCAATCATAACCTCATCCCTACTAAAGGGTCAATTTAGATAGTTGTTCATCTCCTTTGTCACCTTTTTATGTAGTCCATCCAGAATACATTCATCTGTGGTTTGTGAGTTTTTCTCAAAAAGCTCCTCAAAATAACGTCGTGCCAATTTCGCCATGACATCCTCGCCTTCATTAATAAGCCCTTCATCCGATTCAAGAGTCCGCATACGATTATAACGTCTGCAAGTAGAAGTAAAACGATGGAAGAATGATGTGTTATTGTCCTCATTTTTCAACCAATTGCACGGGCCTGTTGCTACCAATATAATTCATCCCTGTCGGCCTCAAAATTTAACTGAAGCTTTGTATTAATTATTTCTCCGAGAACTTCATCAGTGGGAGACTACTCTATCAATTCGGTAAGCTTACGCTTTAGGTCTGTAGCATTTAAGCACTTACTTCGGCAAATGTCTTTAAACCATTTATCCAACCATAACAAAAAAATTGAGTTTTTTGGGAACTGTACCTCGTGCTGCACTCCATAAATTTTCCACTGTATCTTCACACGAATTATCAAGCATCTATGAAGCTTCAAACTGAAAGTGTCAACGTCTAACCACTGGATTCGAACCTGCCTTACTCAACAACACTACATCATCATCAACAACTAAAACATCAATGTGCAAACTTGAAAAATATCATAAAGCAATAGCACACCTAGATTTCCATGCTAAACTTCTATTCCATTCGAAAAGCCACAATACTTTCGAATTTTCTCCATATTTTCTCTATGTAATTTTGTCTCAATAAAAAATATCATTGAAGGGTTGAAATCTCTCAGCGCATACGGGAGACGATAAACCACCTGGGTCATACCCAAACCTCGAACGTTCCAACTTAAGGTTTTCATAGTGTTCGACTGGCCTGTTGTTTCAGGCCTGCCAATATGTTCATATGTCCTACCTCAACTTCAGCACTTGATTCACTCCTTTGTTGAGCTCCTTTGTCCCTTTACCCCATCAATTTTTTCAAATGATAATTTTCCTCTATGGAAACCATAGTCACATCTCCACTTGCTTCCTCCTTACTTGTGCCTTCTCTAGATGTCTCCGTCTAAAGTTTTGTTCTTTCGCCCTTCACCTTATGTAGAGACTAGTTTTTTGATCCATTTGTTATTTATTTATTATTATTCGTTATTATTAGTATATTATTATTAATAAAATATATTATTATTACAGGCCCATTTACAAATCTCAAAGCCCAAAGAATTACAAAGCCCAGATAACATATCCAGACCCAGCTCAAGAGGACCTAAACTCGATTAGGGTTTTCATCATCTTAACTTCCAGCCACCATAGCTCACAGCCGTTGGATCTGGCCTTGATCCAACGACCCATATGGTTCCAGCAGAAAACCCTAGGGTATCATAACCTTAGGGACTATGCGGCCGCTGCCTCTGATGCCTCGGCCAATTGTTGCCACGACGACGCCTCCAGAAGCACCACAACGCTAGGCCAGCCGTCCACGACCCATGTCGCTGCCCTATGGTGAGTCACTACCATAGTTCAGTGACTCACTGCGAACCACTCTTGTTACCGGTCCGAGAGAAGAACCATGGTGGCTTATAAAAGCCATCCAATAAACAACCCACAACAACAAATCAAAAGAAAAGAGAGAAAAACTGAGAAGAAACTTACCCTTGAAGAAGCTTATCGTCGCCGGAAACCGTCGGATTATGAAGGTAAAAATCTAGGTCTTATTTCGACTTTAGGTTAGGAGATCTACATTTTGGGGGTAATTTTGTATTTTTCGGTCATCGTTCACGGTGACCAGCGGTGGTCATCGTCGCCGAAGCACGTTAGCCGGTCGGTGACCGGCTTCCCTCCGGCGAGGGAAACCTAGAGAGACGGCAGAGAAAATTTTCATCTCTCTTTTAGAGAGAGAAAAAAAGAAATGAAAGGCATAAGACCTTTTTCGGTTGGGTTAAGGGTATTTATATCCCACCCCAAACGACGTCGTTTTGGGGAGAGGCTTCTGTGTAATTTATCGCTTGGAATTTTACGTCCGAAGTCCTTGTATATTGTTATTATTCCATTTTAATCATCGAAATCATGTTTCTACATATTTTAATCTTGTCTTCACATTTTATTTATTTTCATTTTAGTCCTTTCCAATATATGTACATATCTTTAAATAGCATATTTAGTCCCTAAAATGTTAATAATTTTTATTTTAATCTTGAATAATTAATTAAGGCTAAATTACACTGTTAGCAACTAAATCTCATAATATTTCGAATTAGAGCTGTAAGTTTTAATATTTTACATTTTAATCCTATTATTTTAATTTTATTTGTTTTAGTCATTATTTAATTGCATTTTAATTTAATTTTTATTATTATCCTTTAAATTTCAATATGTTTAATTTAGTAATTTAATTATTATTTTATTTTAGTCATAATAAATATATATATTTGATTAAATAATAATATTTATTTATTTTTAAATGTTAAGAAAGGGTTGTCTTAAATTAACTAGAGGTCATATTCTGATATTTTTAAATAAATAAATACCTTACTTATAAAACAAATATATATATATATATATATATATATATATATATATTTACTTTAGTTTTATATTTAAATTATTTCAATATGATTTTATTAGAAATAATTATCATATTCTTAATAATATTTTTAATATTAAAGAATGGGGTTGTTTTAAATTAACTAGATGTTCTTTTCTGATATTTTTAAATAAATAAATACCCTATTTATAAAACTATAATATATATATATATATATATATATATATATATATATATATATATATATATATATATATATACTTTAGTTTTATAAAAATCATTTTAATATATTTTTCCTTAGAATTATTCGATTGAATCTGAAATAACAGGATTATAAATTAAATTTATATTAGAATTCTTAAATTTCTACTAATAGAGACAATTTATAATCGACGGGTACCAATCTTGGGCGTTATATGGGTGTTAATCATTCTATAAACGTAACCGACCACGAATCCCTTTTTATTATTAAAAAGAATGAATTTTTGGTTAAATGGAGATTGATTTATCTTTTAACTGATGTTTTCTTAAAAACACTCTTAAAATGTAATTTTGAGGTATTCAACCTACCTAACCTAAAACCTCTGTTTTGAAAACCGGACCGGACCGGCCGGTTCAACCGGGAACCGTTGCTTAGTCCAGTTCAATCTAAACCGGTTGAACCGCTATTAGTGAACCGGCCAGAACCGTTGAACCGTTCGAACCGGACCGGCTGAAAACCGGAAAAAATCGGGAAAACCGAGAAAAACCAGAATTTTTGTTTTTTTTAAAAAAAATAAATCAAACAACGTCGTTTGTTAAATGAGCCAAGTCGAACTCGAGTATTGCTGAGCTCGACTCGAACTTGTAAACTTTAAAAGTAAGCTCAACTCAACTCGAACTCACAAGCTAAAAATTATCAAGTTCAACTCAAACTCGAAATATAATATTTAAACTTGAACTCAAAAAGGCTTGAACTCAAAAAAAAATTAAAAGTTCGATTGAAGTCTAAAATTCGAGCTTTATTGAAGTGAAAGAATAGTTCACTCAATGCTCACCAAAAGGTTCCATGATTTTGAATGTCAAATTACCTCTATTATTTATAGAAGTTAGTTGTGATGCACTTCTATGTTTCTTAGCAATGTGAGATTATTTTATTCTCATATTTTTACTCTTTTGACTTTTGGGATGCTCTTCTATGTTTCTTAGCCATGTGAGATTATTTTTAAAAAAAAAATAAACTAAACAATATCATTTTGTTATGATTTTTTTAACCCCAAATTTATTTTTTAATTATAGTTATATAATTATATTTATTATTTAATATGTTTTACCTTAAATATTATATTGTATTTAATTTGAATCATTTTGTTTCACTTGATTTTATGGTTTTTAACTTATATATGTTATGACTTGCTTTGAATATGACTTGTGATATAAAAAATTATTTTTTATTAAATATTTTTGGTATTTTTATTTAATTTTTTAAATAATTATGACGTCGTCCGGTTCTTCCGACCGGTCGGACCGGTTGAACCAGTAAACCGGTAGCATGACCGGTTCGCTAACCGGTCCGGTTCTGAAAACCATGCCTAAAACGATCGATGACAATTCCAAAACATTTCAATAAAAAAACATTTATTCATTTACATACTTTTCCGTCAAAGAAATTCGTTCCAGGCAAAAACCGGTTACGACATCTTATCGCCACTCCAACCACCTGTTTCTCCCTTTGTATTATTGTCCCGATTCTCCTGCCCATCGTCCTCCCTCAGCCAAGGAGTAGGTGTAAAAATCTTACGTCTCGACAGAGCCCTTAATGAGATATCCCATTGAGGTGTCAACTCTTGTTTTGTTTGAAGCACCTGCAACGGACATAATCCTTCTCCATGACCCAATTTTCCACATAGGAAACAAAACCCCCTTAACTTCTCATATTGAAACGTGACATAGGTAACTCCTCCTTTCGACAAAGCGATATTCTTTTTCCTCTTCAAAGGCTTTTGAACATCCAACATCACTCGAAAGCACAAACAACCCTTGTATTCCAATGTGATCGCTTTCGCATCAAACCCCAAGAACATCCCAATAAAGTTTTCCCAATTGCTTAGCCACCTGCTCAGAAATAAATCTGACTAGCAGATCATTTGCTAAAACCCAAAAACCCATAGAATGAAGATTAACCAATTGAGGGTTTTCAACCTTGACTAAACGATGGATAACCAAAAGATGCGAGTTAAAATACCACGAACCCTCGTTCTAGACCCTCTCTACATCCACTTTGTGGAATAAACGAAACAAATACATGTGATCCTCCAATTCAATAATCGACACATGTTTTCCATCATAGTCTTCATTGCCTGAAAATTAATATTACCCGTTGTGAGAAAACGCCCCACTAAGCAGTTTTCAAACGATATCAAAGGGGTTTCAGTCAAATTTTCTAATTGTAGGATTTCCTCCTCCTCCTCCTCCTCCCCCAAACCAAATCCCTCCAATTCCTCTGATATGTTGTCCATATCACCCCTTACTCCTCCTGAACAGAATCAGAAAGTCTCAAACAGAAGCACTCTGAAATTGAGTAAAACCTAAACAGACCAGGTGGCCGAAAATCCCTTATGTTGGGTAGAGAGAGAAAAAACCCTAATGACTGGTGCTATATCAAAATTAGGTTCAAAGATTTTTTATCGAATGAATCTTTATTTAGTTGACATCTTCATAAAATTATAAGTTTTATAAATCTTCAAATATTATATAAAATTTATTAAAGAAAATTGTGTTCAATATCTAATTTAGAACTCAAAGGGAGGTGTCGGAACCGTCTTTCGGTAGGGCCCGGAATTGGGCTTCGACTTGAAATAATTGGGTTGGGAGTCGCCACCGATCATTTATTTTAAAACAAATGGGTTGATCGGATACCCTATTTCTTACCTGATCTGCGTCTTACCAAAGATGTGTCGGATTCGGGAGTCGGTTACAGTCAAGGAAGGGTTAGCACCCTTGAACTGCCTATTCGGTACTACGCAATTTCCAGTTGTCTTAATTAAGAAAACTTTAATTTTAAATTTAAAGGTAAAATTAAGATCCCGATTACTTACCTCTGATTGGTGAAAATTCCCCTTAAGAGTTAAAAAATGTTAGATAATAAAAATAATAAATTTGGAATATAAAAAAAAGGCGAACAAACGAAATAAATAAAATATAATGTACACAAAAAGAAAGAATGAAATACAAATAAATATGAATAAAATATACAAGGAAAAATACGAAAATTCAAATAAAGAAAAAGAAAAAAAATAGAAAAAATATAAACAGGTAAATAAATAAAAATATACATGAATAAAAAATGTAAAAACAAAGAAAATAAAAAAAATATGAGTAGTATATATATAATAAAATAACATATAAATAAAGAAAAATAGGTAATGTATATATATATATATAAAATAAGAATATAATACAATATAGCGTAAACAAATAAAAATTCGAATATATATATATATAAATAAATAGTAAATACGAAATATAATAAAAATATATATAAGTATAAAGGGGTAAAATGAAACAAAATAAAGTTAGATGGCCGAATTAGAAGATAACCAAGGGAATTAAATCGATTTGGGGACCAAATTAAATGTTTTTTTTAAAACAGAGGGAGTCAAAACGCGGTTTACCCCCTTTTGAGTAAAAACGCGCGGATCTTTTGATGATGGATCGGGTCGCGCGGGTCGTGTACGGGCCAGGTATAAAGGCCAAAACTTGTTTTAACTTTCTCATTTCTCTCTTCTCTTCTACGCGAGATCCCCTCCCTCTCAACATTTCTCTGATTGTTCTTGAGGCTCGAGAACAAACCGCCGTGGTTCTTCAAGAACCCAGCTTCCGGTCACCCATCGCTGCCTCGCCTCCGTTCATCGGCGGCAAAACCCAAAAAAATTTACTTTTTCAAAAGCTTTTCAAATTCCCTCTTCAAAAACCGAAAGATTTTTTTTTTAAAATAGGCCTACCAGGGTGTAGATCTTGAAAACAAGTCTCGAAAAAAAACCCATATGGTCCTCGGCCGTTCATTTTTTCGGTCGTTTCCGAGCGAAAACCCCAGCAACAATCAACATGCAACGATGAAACACAAACCAAGGTAAAAGAACGATACCTTTTTATTATCTTTTTCGAAAATATTGACAAGTGCTTGAACCTTCTTGGCTATTGTGTGTGAGTAGTTATTACACAGTGATCTCGTGTGTGAATCCAATGTAAGATCCCCCCACAACGAGTTTGATTACCCTTATTTATACTGGAAAAAAACCTATTCTTAGATTACATATTTGAGTCCTAATGGAATTCTAATACTGGGTTCTTGTTTTCCAAATGTGCACGTTGTTGGTGTATTGCCGAGAAGCACGGAGGAGAGGCGTGAATGGTGAAGACTCGTGAGGCGTGGGGACTTGATGGCTCGG